GTTCCTGAGAAGCAGCGCGACCCTTCCCAGACCAAGGCCGTCAACAAGTATCGAGCCTATCTGGTCTGGCATGAGTCCCTTGTCGCGGCGATCATCAGCATGCGACAAGCTCAGGAGAGCATCCCACGTCCTGCTGCAACTCCGTCGTCGTCTGGGAAGGCCAAGGTATGATTCCCTGTCTTTGTCCAGATTTTCTTACGGATATTGTTGCACAGGCCGAAGACCCTGTTCCTGAGGCTTCAGGCTCAACTCCTGCCATCGACATTGATTCAGACGTCGAGATGGAGGCCCCCACTCCTGTTCAAGAGAAGGTGCGTCCGTCTTGAGTCTTTGCCGAGCACAGGCTGATTTTTCTCAGACCCCGCGACCATCTACTCGCAAGACCGTCGCCGGACGGTCCGGTTCTCGATCGGTCGACGGTTCTGGTCATGACGACTCCGTAGGGCTTGCGGACGTCTATGGGACTATCATTCGACTCATAGACGAGCACGATAGGTCGATGCGTCTTCTCAGCGCCAAAATGTCGAAGCTTCACGCGGAGCAGATGGAGGCTCTAGGGAGCTGTCTCCAGAGTTTCCAGACGTGAGTTCTCACCCAGTCGCGGCGACTACATTTCTGACCAATTACCCAGCCATCGTTCGTTGTCACCGGCTCGAAGAGGCAGCGACTCAGCAACAGTACCACTGATGTGGCCCCGGGTGAGTCTCGCAGTTCCTTCTCCTGTTGCGACACTTCACTGACCGATTGGCAGCGTCCGCGTCCGACCGAAGGTTTATTGCGGACCGAGTGCATCGACATCAATTGTACCGGTTGCGGCGGTCCATTCCACTCGAGCTCCTCATCGAGGAACGCGACTACGTCTCGTCGCGGCTAGAGGAATGGAAGACCGCGCTCAAGGACATCAAGAAAGCCATTGACCTCTCGATGTCGAAGAATGCGGCCTAATTTTTCATAATATGCACTCTCCTTCCATATGTCTCTCTCTCTCTTGTCATTTATTTATGAAGTCGCGTCTCTTCTTCTCGCGCACCTCCTTTATGACCTTTTTCTTTTAGATACAACCCAGTATAGTCCTTAGGTACCAGCTAGCACCCAAGCAATATACTGAATTCTGTCTAAAAACTGAGAGAAGCGACGTCTTGTCGTGCGAGAGCCTGCCGCGACAAATACTTGTTTGCCAGACTTTCACTCGACAGAAGCTGGATCCTCTACAGGATCGTCGTCGTCGTCACTATCCGAGTTCTTGAGTCTCACACCTTCGAACTGGTAGTCGCGGACGTCAGATATTTCCTCTACCAACTCATCGAGTTTAGCAGGCGAAATATCTATCAGCTTCTTTATATCTTCAGAGAGTGTCAACTTCTGTCTTGCCAAATAGGGTATTACTCGGAACGCCGCGACTTTCGCATGGAACATCGCACCGTTCATTTCACAGACCAAGTAAGAACCCCCTTTGGTCTTTCGAACTACAATCATGGGACCAAGATATCTAGCTTTCATCTTGTTGTCCAATGATTTTTCAATAGCTGTGTTCCTGACCAACACTAAGTCCCCTGGTACAAACTTATAATCTTTGATCACATGCTTGTACCCGAGTTCGTAGCGTTGAACCATCTTTAGTTTGGCGTCGCTGACGCGGCTGCGCATATCTTCAATATGGTCGGCGTGTTTCGCTAGAGCGCGTGCCCTGAGACCAATGAGATCCGCAGAGTCGACGATCCGGTCAGGATATTCGACTAACCACGTAGCTTCGACTATATCCAGAGGGATGGTAGGGTGGGCCCCACATACTGCGAAGTACGGTGAGCAACCCAGCCCGCGACGCACTGTAATTCTATCTGCCCACAAGACTTGTGGGAAGAACCAAAACCATTTGGAGGCGTTTCCCCCAGTAGCTTTGTACAGTGACTGTCGAATGTCCCAATGACCTCTTTCAACAGTGCCATTCGCTTGGGAATTGTAAGGAGATATCCTTATTCCCTTGATACCATATTTCTTCTGTAACCAATTCAACGCCGCGACAAACTGTCCTGCGTTATCGGTTACAATCCACTTAGGGCACCCCCAGCGACACACTATGTCTTCGAGCAAGAAACGCGCTATTGCCTTGGCGTTGTCAGCCTGTAGCGGTTGCGCTTCCACGTAGCGGGTCAAAGAATCCCTTGCCGCGACGACATATCTGTATCCGTTGGAAGGTGTTCCCATAACCATGACGTCTGTATGTATTTTCTGAAATACACTGGGAGTCATTGTCGGCGTCGGTGGAGTACGGAGGAGAGTTTTCTGGCGGACTTGGCAGCTATGACAAGTCTTTATCCACCAGTCGACGTCTCTTTCCATTTCTGGCCACCAAAACCGAGTTTCCAACAGGCTCTTAGTGCTGAAAAGACCCTTATGACCCAGCGCGTCGTGACACGCCTTCATCATATAAGTCCTGTGGTGCTTGTCCACGACCAGTCTATGAATCCCATTGGTCGATCTCTTGTACATTTTTCCATCTTTGAGGAAAAACTGTCGCGAGAATTTGAGAAACGATCTGAACCGTTTATCTGTCATTTCAGGCCTTATGGAAGTGTCTTTCAACCACTTCCTAGCCATTACCAACTTATTGTCTTGTTCGATCCCTGTGCCCGTCCGGTGATCCTCGATATAGGGATCCTCTGGATTGTCGCGCAGTTCAAGATCAGGCAAAAGCGGTTCTCCGTTTGCCACATCGTTCAACATGAAGACCGGGACGACGAGTCCTTGAGCGTCATATGCGTCTTTGACACACCGATTCTCAGCGCGACGAGAGTCGCAAGCCTCGACTAGCTCTTTGGATATGTCGTCGACCGACTCAGCACATCCGACCATAGAGTTAAGGTAGCCACCTCTAGTGTCAATATCCCTTTTGAACTCTTCAAAGTCTAATGGTTGTTCTGTGTCGTAGTCCCAATTCTCGTTGTTCTCTGGTGGTGGCTCGTCGAAGATTTCCTCTTCGTCATTGGGATACTCTTCATCTCCAGGCGCAGGTCGTCGTCGCGACAAGCCATCTGGTGAGAAGGTGATTCCTCTGACATGTTTCAAGGTAAATTGAAACATGAGGATCTCTTCAGCCCAACGGTTGATATTCGCATTTGGTAGGTTACCAACGTTTCTTAGCATGCCTGCCAAGTACAGCGCGTCGGTTTCGACTACCAATTTCCTACAACCAAGAAGCCAGTGAGCCATGGCTTGAAGCACGCGCTTCACACCATAAAGTTCACGCTTCGGTTGAGAAAACCTAGCTTCTCTTTCTGTAAGTGGGATACTCCCAAATTTCGCGTAATAGACCTTCTTTGGATCATCTGGGTCGCGCTGGTAAATTTCGAAACCCGCGGCCATCCAGGATGTGTCTATTGCGACGACAATCTCAGAGTCCCACTCGTAGTTCAGAGGCTTAAGCGACGGACAGACTTGTATCGCGTCTTTAAGTCTTTGAAATGCGAGTTTCTGTTTGTCACTCCATTCAAAATGCGCGTTCTTGTTCACTAGTCTCTGAATTGGTCGCGCCATTTCAGAAAATCCTCTAATGAACATCCGCATGACCCCAATCGTGCCCATGAATTGTCGAACTTCCGAGACGTCTCTCAAATCTGGCCAACGCATGATTACACCAACTCTGTCCGCGTCCGGTTTTCTACCTTCAAACGAACAGATGTGGCCAACCACAGCGAACTCGTCGGCGCAAACCACCGACTTGGTACCAGACAGAGTCGCGCCACAGTAGCCGATTCTGTGTACGACGCGGTTCACATTCTGAAAGTGCTCCCATACAAAGCGACGAATCCCAGGATTTTCTGGAATCGTTTCACAGGTCCCATCGGGCAACAGATACCTGGTTCCAGGCCCTCGAACGGGTACGTCGTCGATGTATGGAATAGTAACATGAGGGATTTCGTCTTTCAGAATGAAAGTAACGTCCTCATGGAATATTGGTACTGAGTTGGTCCACCCTTGTGGGAGTTTGACCAACCTCAGCGCACCGAACGGTGACTGGAACGTAGTCAAGTCGCGACTAGCTGGATCGATGTCACGCTGGTCGTAGCCTGAGTACAAGTCTAGCGCAGCACCACAGGCGCGACCGGCGAAGTGGTTTGCTAACTCCTCTGTCGCGGGTGGCAATCCTGAATGCGCGATAGTAATTGCATTGAGTGGTTCTAGCGAGTGTACCAGTCTGATACTCTTCCCATCCTTCTTAAGTACAGCAAAGAACTTGCTCCGATAAGAGGAATTGGAAGGTTCGTAGACCTGGGCCGCGATTTTGTCTTTTATGACCTTGCACACTTGATCGAACATGCCGCGAGGTATAGGAATATTCCCTTCGCGATATGCTGTATGGGGAACTGTCGCGATCTTGACAGGAGGAAAAATATCCTGTCTTAATGCGCCACGTTCTTCATCATTGAACGCGAAACTCTGATTGTGAAGCATATAGAAGTGCATGAGCAACTTCCGTTCTTCTGGTAATAAGAAGTCCCCTTTGTGTAGCTTGTCCACAATGTCCCTGCGTTCCGCCGTGAATCTACCAGTTGGGGTAAAATCAGGTGGTCGCGGGTCTAGGGTAGGTAGCGTATCCAAAGGATCTCCCACCATTTCTCGAATTATTCGGTCGTCCTCAGAACCCATAGTGTACACCGGTCTGACCTTCTGGTCCACAGGTTTGTATTTCTTTCCTGCGAACACAGAGTATTTGTCGCGACTAGAAGAGTCGTCGTCTAGTACACTCCAAGTACCAACAGTCAGCTTTTTCGTTGCCGAGTCTGAGAGTCTTTCATTCATATATGAATGAAACAAAGTCGACGCAGCGACATCTTTCCTCATTTCCTTGTCCTCTTTCGACGACAAGATATATGCTTCTACTAGCTCAGTTTGGGTAAACTGGCCACTAGAACGCGGCTTTCTTAGATCCTCGAACACTACATTTCCATCTTTTCCCAACGACACAGTCACCGCGACTTCTTCTCCTTGACTCAACCTGGTCAATTCCTCGAAGCTCTTTGAAAATCCCGTTCAGGGTTCGGTTCGTCTGGACTGGTTGTCGGTTTCGACGAACTGTAGGGCTCGGTGGATCCGTCGTTGTTTTTAGTGTTACGCGGTAAGTCGTCTGCACGACGTGGCTGCGTAGCCATTGCACAACGTGTCTTTAAATTGGGATCGCGCATAGTGATTATTTGGCTGCCGTCGGCCGCGTTCTTGATATTGCTTTCTGTCGCGATATCAAACGGTCTGCCGAGCAACACCTTATAAGCTGGACTTTCCAAAATGTGCACCTGCAGGTAGACCAAGATGGTCCCAAACCTGAAGGGTACATTTCTCGCTAATCCCAGTGACTTAGAGATAGATCCATTTGCGCTTTCCATATATATGACGACCTTTGGGTCCCAGCTCAATTGTGCGTCGACGGCTTCTGAGAAAGCCATCGATACAATCTGAGATCCACTGTCTAGGATGCAGTCCGCGTCGAGACGCGCGTTAATCCGTCCGTTTATCGTTCTGAGAGCAGCCGACGAATCACCAACATAGACATGCCTTGGGTTCTCATTAGAGGGTATCGACTCCAAGTACATCTCATATGGATCCGTCGCGACAACTGCGCCAATGGGAATTTCTCCTTCAACTGTGTTATGATAGAACACAGTGTTGAGCACGATCAGCGGCTGTACACGGACACTGCCACCCATCATCAGCGGCCGCGGCGCATCCACCGACATCAGGATTAAGCTCATCGGCCGCGGTTTTCTGGCGATTTCTCCGCCATTTCACATTACTTACAGAATATTCCAGAGCCATCGTTCACGGTAGTATATAAGCACGAGATTGTAGATACGAAACACAGAATATATCACCCCTTAGTAGCTCATTTCGAGGAGTCCCTGACTCCGGCCTCCCATTGTCTACATCGTCGATCCAGTAGTCCGCGGCCCAGTCGGACGCCGCAGGAGTTCGTTCTCTCATTTCTCCACATTCCCAGCCTCACCTGAACCTTGGTTCGGACACCTCGCATCACACATCATTACACGGCGCACTTGGAGCAGGGCCCGCCCATTCGACACCCTGTCCTCGTTCTCCCGTTCTTGGGTCCTCGCTTAGACGTCGCCCGTGCACATCATATTTTGGAGCCCACCGCGAGGGGGTCTAAATCACCATTGATTCAGGCCGTAGCCTTCGTCCTCGCCGTACTTCGTTACAAGATCTACGTGCAGAATTCCGTGCTATCCAGCAAAACCCACGCGATCTACTCGACACATCCACCCATCCCGACTCCGACACATCTGACGAGCTCTTCGTTCGCGTCCCAGACCACCTTGCGCGTCACAACAACCTATCCCCTCGTTCGCCCGGTTCCCCTCGACTCGATCTTCTCTTCCAGTCCCCGACCCATACTCGATCTCCTACCCCATCCCCAACCATTATGGCGACCTCCCAGATGCCCGCCCGAGGCGCTCGTGGAGCCCCGGAGTTTGATTCGTCGAAACCGCGCCAGCTACCTCGATACTTCAGTGATCTCGAGCTGGAATTTGCTCGAGTTGGGGTCACTGATGAGACGGAAAAGAAGAGGCATGCGACGAGATATGTCAGCGTCGACGACCAGGACACCTGGGAATCACTCACCGAGTTCACGTCCGTCACGACCACCTACGCCGACTTCAAAAAGGCCGTCTTGAAGCTCTATCCCGGCACAGACTCTGATCGAAAGTATACGATGTCGGATCTCCATTCGCTGATCGGCGAATACGCAACATCTGGCATCCTGTCGCTGTCAGACTACAGCGAGTTCTATAGGCGCTTCATCACGATCACGACGTACCTGATCTCAAAAGGGCGTCTCTCGACTGCTGAACAAAGTCGTTCATTCTGCCGTGCCATCTCCCCGCCCACCCTCTGGACTCGTGTATCACAGCGATTGCAGATCAAACGCCCAGACAATCACCCCAACGACCCATACAACCTCGCGGATCTCACCGAAGCAGTCGAATTCGTCCTGGCCGGTCCTGTCACGCTCAACGCGCCGCCCCCATCGTCAGTACCGCCCTCCCAATCGGCCAGTTCTCCCGCCGTCAAATCCGAGCCCGACTTTGGCGCGCTGCTCGAGACCATGAACGGTCTAATGAAGGTCTTGCTAGCGCAGCAGCAGCAGCCCAGTCGCCCATATGCGAGCCCGTTGCCAGCCAGCCCATCGGCACCCCGACGAGAAGGCGACCAGTGCGTGTACTGCGGAGGCGACCATTACATCAGTCGCTGCCCACTCGTCGAAGAAGATACGAAAGCTGGAAAATGTAAGCGTGATATCGATGGACGTGTGGTGCTCCCTACCGGCGCGTTTGTTCCCCGCAGAATCCCCGGCGCCAATCTCAGAGCCCGTATCGAGGAATGGCACAAACAAAACCCTGGTCAGCTAGCCGCCGGTCAGATGATGCTCGAAGTGCCCACGCACCTGTCGTCGTCGTATCCTGCGTCTTCCCAGTCCAATCCCGCTGCCACATTCGTCCTGTCCGAAGAAGAGCGCCTTGCAAGTCTGGAGAAGGAGATCTTTGCGATCCGCACGCGCGCCCAGGCACGACGCGCTCTTGCCGCCGGCGCATCCGGAGAATCGATCGAGGAACCAGAGCAGCCGGTACGCGCATCGGTACCACCTCCAGCGCCTCCAGCGCCTCCCGTTGCCCCTGCCGTTCCACCCAGTATCTTGACACGGCCCACGAAAGAGAACTCACCTGAACACCCCTACGCCCACATTCGCGACGCCGCCTATGCCCCGCCCCGCGACCGAAACGTTGGGGCCAAGCCTCCAGTCCACGCGGCAAAGAAAAGCGACCCAGCGTACCGGACAACTGCACCCATTTTCGACGAAAAGATCGCCTCCAAGGTTTTCGACCGGTCCATGGACGCGCCTATCACCCTGACCCACCGAGAGCTCCTCTCCCTGTCACCAGAAGTACGGGCCCAGGTCCGAGACGCAACAACGAGTCGACGCACAGCCCCAGTAGTCGCGCAAGGCAAGGCACCAACAACGGCACCCCAGCTAATGGTGAGCGCGGCGATCCCGGTAGATGCAGAAGCCCTCGAGTCTCTCGAAGAGCAGAAAGAGCGCGACGCACGCAGCGCCAGGTTCCTCGACTCGATGCCAGCAACCTTTGCCAATTCTGCCACCCAGCTCCCACCCGATGCCTTCGTCGTCCCGGATCCCTATGAAGCGTACTACGCCAACGGAGAGCCCGTTCCTGAAGGCCTGGTCGTGTCGCTCGAGTCCTCTGCAATCCGGTCGGTCCTTCCAGTCGTTGACAACCGCCAACGCGTCGAAAGTATTGTCGATGGTGGCTCGGGTATCATCGCCATGTCAGAAGCGGTGTTGAACGAGCTAGCCCTTGCCTACGACCCACGTATCGTGCTGCAGATGCAGTCGGCCAATGGATCAGTATCGCCGTCGCTCGGTCTGGCCAGAAACGTACCATTCACATTTGGCGACATCACGGTGTACCTCCAGGTACACGTGGTTCGTAATCCTGCTTATGACATTCTCCTTGGCCGGCCCTTCGACGTCTTGACAGAAAGTGTCATCCGAAACTATGCGGACGAGAATCAAACCGTAACCATTCGAGACCCCAACTCAGGCAAGATTGCGACCATTCCGACCGTTCCCCGTGGGAAAACCCGTCCTCGCTGCCAGCCCGAGCAGGGTTTTCGCGGCTAGATGATCTGATCTCCGATCAGGAGCAGTTCGCGCTGATCATCGCGGCCGACGATGCGAGCCCCGACACATTTTCTATCCAGTCCTATGTCCCACTCCTTCCACACAGTTCATTTACCACTGATATCCTACAGACGTTTTACCTATCGGCCTGTACAAACTTGCCATCACCCTACTCTACCTACTTCCAACCGCGCCCTGACGTTCAACCGACTGCTCGCGATATGTGCCCCAGCGATTCAACTCGCTGTTGCCCCCCTCTCCATTCCAAATCTACCATAACAATTGAAAATCAATCTACGATGCTTTCCCACCCGTACTCTGCACCTCAAGTTGACGTCTTTGCCAAAAAACGCTACAAACCGGTTGCACAAAAAGTCCGCCCTGTACTGGGTAGCCTCCCAGAACAGTTCCGAATCGTCCGTGAAATTACAGGAGACCCACTTGCTGCGCTTCCCAGTCTAAACCCCGTTCCCCCACCATTTGCTCCAACTGGCCGTTACACACAAGACCGCTGCGACGTCATTGATCGACTGCATCCCGAAGGGTTCTTGTGGCCAGAAGAGCGACGCTTGATGCACCACTTCATGTTGGTCCATCAGGATGGCTTCGCCTGGACCGATCTTGAACGAGGGAAGTTCCGATCGGACTTCTTCAAACCTGTTGACATTCCCGTCATTCCACATGTTCCGTGGGTGCAACGCAACATACCAATCCCGCCTGGTATTTACGACCAAGTCTGCGAGCTGATCCGCAAGAAGATTGCCGCGGGGGTGTACGAACCGTCGAATTCTTCGTATCGCTCCCGTTGGTTCTGCGTCGTCAAGAAAGATGGCGCTAGCTTGCGCCTTGTCCACAGCCTCGAGCCGCTCAACGCCGTTACCATTCAGCACTCTGGCGTGCCACCGTTGACAGATCAGCTGGCCGAGCAGTTTGCAGGACGTGCATGTGGCGGTATCCTCGATCTCTACGTCGGCTATGATGAGCGAGTACTCGCAGAGTCCTCACGGGATCTCACCACGTTCCAGACCCCCTTTGGAGCGCAGCAGCTTACGACCTTGCCTATGGGGTGGTCCAATTCGGTCCCGATATTCCATGACGACGTCACTGTTATACTTCAGCCCGAAATCCCTGAATTCACGATCCCGTACATCGATGATGTACCCACCCGAGGTCCCGAGTCCCGTTATCCCCTTGCCGACGGGTCTCCAGAGACAATCTACGAGAACCCCGGCATCCGACGCTTTGTCTGGGAACACTTCCAAAACCTAAATCGAATCGTTCAGCGAATGAAGTATTGCGGAGGTACCTTTTCCGGCCCCAAAGCCATTTTGTGTGCCGAGCAGATCACGGTACTGGGACATGTCTGTACCCCAGCAGGCCGCATTCCCGACCCAGACCGCGTCGCGAAGATTGAGAACTGGGGACCATGTCAGAACCTGTCAGACGTCCGTGCCTTCCTCGGCACTGTTGGCGTAGCACGAATGTTCATCAGGAACTTTGCAAAACGCGCCTATCCTCTTGTGCAACTCACCCGGAAAGATGCCCCCTTTGTCTTTGGGCCAGAGCAGGTCACAGCTCAAGCTGATCTAAAACATGCACTCCTTCATTCACCAGCCCTCCGACCCATTGACTATCGTTCCCCTGCCCCCGTCATTCTCTCAGTCGACACCTCCTACATCGCAGTTGGGTTCCTCCTCGCACAATGCGATCCCGAGCTCCTGTCACGCCGCTTCTACGCCAGATTTGGATCCATTACCTTGAACGACCGCGAGTCCCGTTTTTCACAACCGAAGCTTGAGTTGTATGGTCTATACCGTGCGCTCCGCTCGTGGAAACTACATGTCATTGGCATCCGCAATCTAGTGGTCGAAGTAGACGCCCGGTACATAAAAGGAATGCTCACCAATCCCGATCTATCCCCCTCCGCCTCCATCAACCGGTGGATCCTCGCGATTCTTACATTTCACTTCACCCTCGTCCATGTCCCAGGCATTTCCCATCGACCCGATGGCCTGTCTCGCCGTCCCGCGCAGAGCAGTGATGAGCCGGAACCGGAAGATGAGTTCGAGGACTGGGTTGATCAGGTTCATGGTTTCATGCACATGATTAACCACTCACCCTATGTCCCTCGTCTCGAAAATATCGTGGCTACCCTCGCCGCCGAGGTCATTCCCGAAGAAGTCCCACTGCCCCCCTTTTCCTACGATTCCGTTCCCCGTTCTGAGTCCAACCGCCTTGCAGATTACCGCGTCCATCTAGTACGCCAGTGGCTGGACACACTTGAGCGTCCCCGCGAGCTATCCGACAGCGAGTATCAGTCATTTATACGATACGCAATGGAATTTTACCTCTCCGATGGCACGCTCTGGCGCAAGCATCCAGATGGCCGCCACAAGCTGGTTGTCCCGACCGAACGCCGGCTCGTTATCCTCCACTCAGCACATGACGATGTCTGTCATAAAGGCTTCTATGCGACCCGCGCCCTCATTGCCGAGCGATTCTGGTGGCCACACATGGCCCATGACATCGCTTGGTACGTCCGGACCTGCGATCTATGTCAGCAGAGGCAGATTCGGAAAGTCACCATACCGCCAACGGTTGCAGTCCCGGCGCCGCTCTTCGCTAAGGTATACATGGACACCATGCATCTCCCGACGAGCGGAGGCTTCCGCTACATCGTGCAAGCTCGTTGTTCGCTCACCCACTACCCCGAGTTTCGAATGCTTCGCCGAGAAAACGCGAAAGCGCTTGCATCCTGGATCTTTGAAGACCTGCTTTGCAGATGGGGAACACTCTGCGAGATTGTATCAGACAACGGGACCCCTTTTGTGAAAGCGCTGAGTTACCTCAAGAAGCAGTATGGAGTACGCCACATCCGCATATCGGGCTATAACTCCCAGGCCAACCTAGCGGAGCGACCGCATTTCGACGTCCGACAAGCGCTCTTCAAGGCAAGCGATGGTAACCAAGCAAAATGGCACAGTGCCGCGTATTCCGTCTTCTGGGCCGATCGAGTCACAGTCCGACGTCGCATGGGTTGCTCGCCGTATTTCGCCGTTACTGGGACACATCCGTTACTCCCGCTCGACATCTCCGAGGCCACGTACCTGCTTCCTCCACCCAAATCCGTCCTTTCCACCACAGATCTCATCGCCCGCCGTGCAATCGCCCTTCAAAAGCGTCGTTCCCACTTATCCACACTCCACTCTGATGTCTACGGGGCGCGCCTTCGTGCAGCAGTCCGTTTCGAGCAAGAACACGCGGCAACAATCCGGGACTTGGACTTCAAACGTGGCGACCTTGTCCTGATGAGAAATACAGCTATTGAGAAGTCCTTGAATAGGAAGATGCGCAAACGCTACCTGGGTCCCCTCGTTGTCATCTCACGAAACCGCGGCGGCGCGTACATCCTCTGCGAGCTCGACGGCTCAGTCCTGCATCGCCCTATTGCCGCGTTCCGTGTGGTTCCGTACTTTGCGCGAAAGGCCATTGACCTCCCGCCTATCGAGGATCTCCTCGATATTTCGACCAAGCGCTTGCGTGAGCTAGAAGAGTCGCTGCTCGAAGACCCAGAGGACGACGAAACGGGAGACGAAGAGTTACCAGATCAGGACGATGAAAAAGATGGTTAGCGGCCCACAATCCCGATTTCAGTAGGGAGGACGCACCAAAAACTCTATCCAAGTCCATCCCGGCAGACCATAAGGCGCGAGCGAGCGGATGACCGAGGACGGTCATGATTTAAGTAGGGAGGAGATGTTGAGCACGATCAGCGGCTGTACACGGACACTGCCACCCATCATCAGCGGCCGCGGCGCATCCACCGACATCAGGATTAAGCTCATCGGCCGCGGTTTTCTGGCGATTTCTCCGCCATTTCATATTACTTACAGAATATTCCAGAGCCATTGTTCACGGTAGTATATAAGCACGAGATTGTAGATACGAAACACAGAATATATCACCCCTTAGTAGCTCATTTCGAGGAGTCCCTGACTCCGGCCTCCCATTGTCTACATCGTCGATCCAGTAGTCCGCGGCCCAGTCGGACGCCGCAGGAGTTCGTTCTCTCATTTCTCCACATTCCCAGCCTCACCTGAACCTTGGTTCGGACACCTCGCATCACACATCATTACACGGCGCACTTGGAGCAGGGCCCGCCCATTCGACACCCTGTCCTCGTTCTCCCGTTCTTGGGTCCTCGCTTAGACGTCGCCCGTGCACATCAACAGGCTCGGGCAATTCCTTAGCACTGACTAGGTTGTAGCTCAGTTCTCCATCCCAAACGTCTTCAACGACGCGACCAGTTTCTTGAAGCATGGACTTCTGAACCGGTACTCGTTTCTTCGAAGAGTCCTTCAGAATGGAGTCGCGGACAGTCCCCGAAACTGCTAGGAGTTCACCCACAGTGACGTCGACTGACGCGTTTTTCATTTTGTCGTAGACTGCTTCTGCTACAGCCTTCGTTTGAATCGGTGCACGCAACTGGTATTTATCTGGAACGCGCGCTTTTGAAGAATGTACTGGTTCTTGTAGAACGGGCTTGACTTTCTCAAACGGTAGTTCCTTTCTCTTTTCGGTGTTGTCGCGCACTGATTCCTCATCATCGTCGCTATCACTAACTTCCTCAATAATCACAGGTTTTCTTGGTTTCTCTCGTCGCTCAGCTCGTTTATCATGGTCCTCAGAGGGCTTGGCTGAGTTTGTGAGTTTAGCCCCCTTCCTTGAACCATTTAGAAACCCGAGTTGTTATCGTCGCGCTCAGGTTGGCTATTCGCACCACGACGGGTTTGAATGAACTGCTCCTGAGTCTGAGGATAACCACTGTTCATGTTGTTGAAGTAGCCGGCCATGGCGTCGGTCATGGCTTTCTGCATGAACTGGCCCATGGCACTTTCCATTGCATTACTGGTTGAACCAGATGCAGTTCTTTGAGTCTTTGGCTCAGCGCGACTCTCTGGGGTTGGCCGCGACGACTTCCTCTCATATTGGATGAGTTGACTTCGAAGGGAGCGTATCTCATCTGCCACTTCTTCAGGGTAGTCGGACATATCATCATTGTCGCGGCTATCGAACTGATCCAAGTAGTAGGAGTCTTGGAAATTGACGGACTTGCCCTTCTTCTTCCAATAAGCCTCTACTCGTTGTCCCTGAGTCCCTTCTCCATTTGGTAGGAAGCTGTCGTCGAAGAGCCTCCACATCCCTTTGGTGTCGACTTTGAGAAGGTTTTTCTCAATGTGAGACCTCTTGAGTGGGCACTCGTTCGACCAATGACCAGTTTGTCCACAGTAGCGACAGTCGTCGTTCCGTGCGGCAGCCCCTCCTTGTGCGCGACTTTCGAAGTGGGGCACAGAAGAGTTGTTGCCTACTGGCCGCGACCGCTGTATGGGCGCTTCGCGAGCAGTCTGTACGAACGTCTTCAGCGCTTCCTGCAACTGAGTCTGTAGCTCTTTTTGGTGTAGAAGAAATGAATCCTTCAAGTTGGAAATCGAGTTTTCCAACTCCTCAACCTTAGCATGGTTGGGTGGACTAGTCTCATAGTCGAAGCGAACCTTAGGAGGCCGCGCGATTATGGGAATTTTGTCTTCGTTACTCAACGTCGACGCCATTTCTTCCGCCATTGTCATTAGTTCTTTTAGCTGGATGGGGTCGTCCTGTCGATTGACTCCAGTCGCTGGGACATTAGCATTTGCTATCCCAGCGCGAGTTTGGTAGCGCTTGTTGAATACCTGACTTGTAGCCAAAGCATTTCGCAAGACGGTACTGAACTCAGAGTCCAAAGTACGCATGTAGCGTTCACACGCGACTTTGTTGGTGATAATGGCAGGAGGGACTGACAGTCGCTTATAGTGACTGTACATTTGAAGGCCGAAACACTTCAAATCGCCCTCATCCGTGATTTTGATTCCACGGTTCTCGCGACAGAGTCTATCTAGATCTGCCATGGTCCCCGTTTTTCGCTTGGATACCTCAGGGTATCCTTTTAATATTTTGGCCTCGAACTCCGCGACAGTTTTTGTGTCGTCGGAATAGGTATCGAGACCTTCCCATACGTCCATTACTTGCCGCCACGGCAAGTAACGAATGTACATGCTTTTTGCTTGTTTGGCATCTGTGATGCCACCATCCTCCACGATCTGCACACAGTGACGCAAATATGCCTCAATCGACAGGGGATCCTTTTCATCAAGTATAGGTCTACTTGTGTCCCAAGGTTGAGGGATTTTGAACCCAGTCTTTGGAGCCATAGTTGTCGCGACTGAAGTCACAGGGGAAGTAGGGATGTTGTTAGAATTCGTGTTTGTAGCGGTGACGCTACTAGACAATTCTGAGAGGGTTTGTGAGCTAGTCTGAGATCGACTGATTGTCGTCGAACTCGAAGTAGCCGCGTCTAAAGCTGGAAGCTTCGACGACGAATTCACTCTTTGTTTTCCTTTTGCCTTAGAAGGCAAGGGTGGTAGATACAAAGGTGTTTTATGTCTTGCAGACCTTCGTGGTTTTTCGAAAGGTCCTGAAGTTGAAGCGTTTCCTTCAGTCTCAATCTCCGCTTGGTCCTCAAGAGGTCGCGCAGGAGCTTGGGATCGAAATAAACTGCTTCGCGGGATAAACCCTTGGTCTCTATCCGACGTCGCGGTAAAGAATCCGGTTTATTGATTTTTAAAGTTTATGAAACTTTAGAAGCCCCTCGCGGTGGGCTCCAGATGAAATGCTGAGGGCGCGCTCACAAGTGAATCTACTATGAAAGTAAACCCAAATATAAACACGTTCACACTCCTCGTAATCAGCTTCTCAGTGTGTGAAAGATGCGAGGGCTTCGGGGTGGACAGAGCACCAGTATCACAACTCTCAATAGACGCAGATCCAATAGTCGCGGAGACGAAGTCGACGACAAGGATATATATATATAGCAAAACAATGGTATCTCAACCAATATCTTCTATACGAACACAATCAACACTAATCCAATCCACAACAACAATATAACAAGTCAGAGCTTAATACGAAGTATTAAGATCCCTTGTAGCGACAGCGTCCAGATGGTGACGCAAAGCCCAAATATCAAGTTGACGCACTGCCAACCGATGCAACCAATATACTGAGTCGACGCACTGCCAACTAGTAAACCAAAATGTCAAGTCGACGCACTGCCAACTGACACAACCAAAAGTACTGAGTCGACGCACTGCCAACTAGTAAACCAAGATGCCGCGTCGACGCACTGCCAACTAACAGCCAATATCCAATGTCCAAAACCCGAGCACAACTTGTCGACGCACTGCCAAGCAAGAAGTGTGGAACCAAAGTTCTCAAGTCGACGCACTGCCAACTGACCAAAACAACCCAAGCACAACTAGTCGACGCACTGCCAAGCTAGAGGTGTGGAACGATCTCAACAAAGCCCGAAGGCGACGACACTAAATGCCG